GGCTGGCATTTCTTAATTAAGAAAGAAAAGCCTTCGTAATGAATGGAATGAGCCTAGAACAGGGGTGGGCAAACTTTTTGACTCGAGGGCCACCATGGGTTCTTAAACTGGACCGGAGGGCCGGAACAAAAGCATGGATGGGGTGTTTGTGTGAACTAATATAAATTCAAAGTAAACATCATTACATAAAAGGGTACGGTCTTTTTTTTTTTTAGTTTTATTCATTTCAGACGGGCCGGATCCGGCCCGCGGGCCGTAGTTTGCCCACGGCTGGCCTAGAAGGTGCATCGGAGCCCCGGGCTGGAGAGCTCACGGGCATCGTTGGGGTCAGTGCTTGTGACCAGCCCGTGGGGTGGGCACCGTGAGCAGCTGCCTCCTGTGGGTGAGAAGGCGCAGGAAGGGTAGGGGCACCTCAGGGATGGCCTCAAGCCCTGCCCACCACCCTGGACGGCCGCCAGAGGGCACTGGTGTTCCAGAGCCAGCACCAAGTGCACAGGCCGGTGTTGGAGCTGGCAGCCTGTGGGGCTGAGTTTCCGGAAGGTGAGCTGGCAGTGTGCATGCAGAGTCACGGTGGGAGCCAGCAGAGCCGGGGAGAGCGGCCCGCACAGCGTGAGAGCAGGACGGGCGGCCTTGGGGCGAGCACTTCCGGGACGGGGGGTTGCAGGCCTGATGCCGCGGGGCTGCTGGGCTCCGGGCCTGGGAAGCAGGTGCAGGACTGGCACCGGGAGGCTTCGTCCGGAGGGTCATCCGGACGGTCGTCCCGCTGTTCGGCCGTCCAGCCTAGTTAGCATGTTACGCTTTCATTATTATAGGTGTGGGTGGCCCGGGGTTCCTCCTGCCCCCGCTGAGTTTTGACTTTGCACTGTGTCTCCTTGGGTCTTGGGGTGACCTCTGTTAGTGGGGATGCCCAGCGTGGGACCAGCGTGTGCAAGGGGAGCAGGTTAGGCCTGCACATGAGTTTCACGCCCCGGCGGCCATCGCCTGTGGGGTGAGAGGTGGAAGTGTGCGGGGGGGGGGGGCATGCATGCGGTGATGGTGGCACAGGGGGGACTTCAAGGGCGACGGCAGGGGGACGGAGCCAGCACGGCGCACGCTCTGTGTCACAGGAGGTGCACCAAGTAGCAGGAGCAGAGCCGGCTCAGGCCACACCGTGTTGAGGGAGCAGCTTAGCAGTCCTGCGGGTTGGGGTCCCACGGCAACACCCCAGATAGGGTGCCAGGACCCCTGCCGTCGCCTGGGATCCCACAGCCATTCTCCTTGGCTCACAGTGTGGGGCTCACTTGGAACCAGCGGCCGTACAAGGCCATTTCCTCCGTCGCATTCTGGCCCCATAACCTTGGCCGTGGACCGTGGAGTTAGGAACGCGGGATGTCACGCGAGGCCTGACCCCCTCGGAGGAGAACACTCGCCTCCCGGGCTTCTCGGACCAGCATGCTGCTTCCGTCTGGCCTGAGGGGCGGCCCGGCCCCTGGCCCCCCGGAAATGGCCCCTCTGTGGGGCCGACAGACACGAACCGGCGGCAGCACAAGGTGGACGCCAGGAGGCCACAGTGACAGCGCGAGAGCGCCGAGAGCAGATCCGTTCCAACCCGAGGGATGTGAGGACGTCACTTCCTCCCCCTCACGGCTCCTCGTCCGTCCTCCCGCTGCCGGCAGGTGGATGCTCTCAAGTCCCGCCTTCTCCCTCTGGCGTCCTGACTCCGGTGGGAACTCTGGCTCTTCCCCTGGCTTTCCTCTTGGCACCTTTGCCTTTGGAAAAAGCACTGTGAGGGGCACATGCCGGGGGCTGCCCTCCTCGCACCTTTACGTGCGCAGCGCAGGGTGCTAACTGAGCGCCGCGCTGCACAGCGACCCCTCACGTGCCCTCCATCTCCCACCTGAGACCCAACCTGGTGGCAGGGCTTCCGTGCCCTCCTCCCGGCCCCCGGCCCCCGGCCGCCGCCATGCTGTTCCCTGTGGTTCGGTGGGGGGTCGTGCAGTGCCTGTCCCCCCACCCGCCGTGCTCAGGGCTCTTCTGTGCTGTAGCCCCTGCAGCGGCTTCTCCTTTTCCGTGGCCGAGTCGTGTTCCTTTGTGCGCATCGCATCTTGTTTGCTCATTGATTCTGTCGAGGACTTTGAGGTTGTTCCCACCCCTTGGCTATTGTGACTAATGCGGCTGTGACCCTGGTGCGCAGCTATCTCCCCCAAAACCCCAATTTCCCTCCTTTTGGATTCATACCCAGGAGTGGGGTCATTGGAGGCTCTGTCCCTAATGTCTGAGGAGCCTCGTCCTGACTCTTGTAATGGGTTTACCTTTCTCTACTCCCAGCAGCAGTGCGCGCGAGGGCCCCACTCTCTCCCCGTCCTCACCCTCACTGATTCTATCTTGGGGGGGGGGCGTTAAATGGACATTCTGACCGGTGTGAAGGGATACCTTGTTGAGGTATTGATGAACGCTTTCCTGATGATTTCTGATGTGGAGCGTTTTTCCATGTATCTGTCGGACAGTTTTGGGGGGTCTTTTGGGGGGAAGTGTCTAAGTCCTTTGTCCATTTTTTAAATTGGGTTAATTTGTTTTGTTTTTTTAAAATATAGTATTGATTTCAGAGAGGAAGGGAGAGGGAGAGAGAAAGAGAAACATCAATGATGAGAGAGAATCATGGATTGGCTGCCCCCTGCACCCCCCCCACTGGGGATCAAGCCCGCAACCCGGGCATGTGCCCTTGGCTGGAATCGAACATGGAACCCTTCAGTCCGCAGGCTGACGTTCTATCCACTGAGCCACACCAGCTAGGGATTAATTTGGTTTTTTGCTCTTGAGCTGTAGGCATCTCGTTGACATTAGCTGCCACATCTCCATGCCCCTCTCTGATGAAATCATGTCTGCCACTCAGCCTGGTCCTCCCGCCCTACCATTCCCGTCTCACCGGTCTGCTCCCCCACCTTCCCGTGGTTTCTGAAATGCACTCAGACCCAATGTAGACACGTCCTTAAGCGCCCAGGTCAAGTCAGAGTCCCCGAGGCCTCTCCAGACCACAGCCGGCCGTGTTTTGGGCTAACTGACCTTCACCGCCTCCCTCCCCAGGACTTCCCAAGCCACCTTGCCACACCGTCGGGGGCAGAGCTGCCCTGTGGGCCGGCATGGGCTCTGCCGCCGGGAGCACGTGCAGGGGGTGGGGTCTGAGTGCACACGATGCAGGCAACCCCAAGAGGGAAAGAGGAGCCGACGGGGCCGGGATTGGCACAGACAGCAGGTGTGCACGCAAGGTCATGACAGTGCCCTGCTGGGCTCTGCCGGCGGGGGAGGCAGGTGTGTGCTGGGAGCCAGAGAGAAGCTGAGCTCACCTCGCCGTCCTGCAGGCCGTCAGCACCACTGACGCAGAACACCTTGTTCCAGAGAGTTCTTGCTTCCCCCCGCATGTCCTGGCCTGCAGGCTGCAGGAGCTGCCCGGCCACCCTGCGCTGGAGGCCACCCAGGAGTCCCGGGGCAGCCTTTAGGGGGCCAACACCCCGGGCAGGAAGGCTGGGCCCACGGGACAGAGTGTCCCAGAGCCTGAGGACACCGGGTTGGGCATGGGACGTGGCTCCTGAGCTCCATCCGCTCCTGCCAGCAGCTGCAGGACCTTTTCCTGGGCCTCCCAGCCCCGTGGTTCTCCCCTCGTGACCTCCATCCTTCTGCATGGACGCCCCACACCTCTCACAGCGGTGGGAGCCCCTGCCTCCCGCCCCGAGCCCAGCTGTCTGCTCTGGTCGGAGGATGCTGTGGCCATTTCCGGTTCCTGTGGGCCCTGGGGGGGTTCCAGCCCGCGGGCCGGTTCTGTGGCCTCGATCGTGTCCTGTTGGAACGTCCCCGAGGAGATCAAAGCCTGCCCTCACGTGGACCAGGGACGCTGACCACGTGGCCCGGCCTCCCTATGACCTCCTCCCCCTCCTCCAGGCATCACATCCGGGGATACGGCTCCCCCGCCGGGCCGGTGTGTAGGATCACCGGATGCTTAAACAAAGAAAGGAAGGCCCTAACTCAGTGGTTCTCAACGTTCTGGCCCTTTAAATACAGTTCCTCATGTTGTGACCCAACCATAACATTATCTTCGTGGCTACTTCATCACTGTCATGTTGCTACTGTTATGAATCGTCATGTAAATATCTGGCATGCAGGATGGTCTTAGGCGACCCCTGTGAAAGGGTCGTTCGACCGCCAAAGGGGTCGCGACCCACAGGTTGAGAACTGCTGCAACTGGTTTGGCTCAGTAGATAGAGCGTCAGCCTGCGGACTGAAGGGTCCCGGGTTCGATTCCGGTCAAGGGCATGTACCTTGGTTATGGGCACATCCCCAGTGGGAGGTGTGCAGGAGGCAGCTGATCGGTGTTTCTCTCTCATCCATGTTTCTAACTCTCTATCCCTCTCCCTTCCTCTCTGTAAAAAAATCAGTAAAATATATTTTTTTTAAAAAAAAGAAAAGAAGCCGAGACCGGTTTGGCTCAGTGGATAGAGCGTCAGCTTGCGGACTGAAAGGTCCCAGGTTCGATTCCGGTCAAGGGCATGTACCTGGGCTGCGGGCACATCCCTAGTAGGAAATGTGCAGGAGGCAGCTGATCGATGTTTCTCTCTCATCGATGTTTCTAACTCTCTATCTCTCTTCCTTCCTCTCTATAAAAAATCAATAAAATATATTAAAAAAAAAAAAAAGAAAAGAAAAGAAAGGAAGGAAAAACAAGACTGTAGGCTCTGTCCCCGGAGTCGCTGAGCTGGGTTGTGGCTGGACTGGGTCTGACGTTTTTGCGATGACCCTGTGCCTGCGATCAGAACACGGAGCTCTGGGGGACAGGGGACTGGCCTCCTGAGGTGCCCGGCCGTGTTCGTTTCCTCCTCTGTCCGACCTGGGCCTGTGGGTGTTCTAGAAGGAGCACGTGCTTCCTTAGACATCAGAGAGAGAACAGATGTCCCTAAAACAAACGCAGGCTTCAGAGGGGTCCGTCTTCCAGAAACCGTCACCCCATCGGTGTGTTCCTCTTCCCGCAGGCGGCCTGGACCTCATCTTCATGCCGGGGCTCGGGTTCGACAAGCAAGGCAACCGGCTGGGCCGGGGCCGGGGCTACTACGACACCTTCCTGAGGCGCTGTGAGCAGCACCAGCAGGCGAAGCCCTACACCATGGCCTTGGCGTTCAAGGAGCAGATTTGCGATCAGGTCCCCGTGGACGAACATGACGTGAAGGTAGATGAAGTCCTCTACGAAGACACCCCCTGAGTCCCGCTGCCGCAGCCCGACGCTGGGGGTGCGGGCCCGAGAGAGGGGCCCACAGAAGATGTGCCTGTCCCGTCCGGGGTCCGTCAAAATTGCACACCACTGGGAACACGGGCTGCATTGTTTTATTATAATTATAAGATACATAATCCAAAATCACCTTTAAAAATTAATAGAGCGGCCCTGGCCGGTTTGCCCTAGTGGATAGAGCGTCGGCCTGCAGACTGAAGGGTCCCAGGTTCGATTCCGGGTCAGGGCACAGGCCTGGGTTGTGGGCTTGATCCCCAGTGTGGGGCATGCAGGAGGCAGCTGATACATGATTCTCTCTCATCACTGATGTTTCTATCTCCCTCTCCCTTCCTCTCTGAAATCAATAAAACATATTTTAAAAAAATTAATAGAGTTTTCGGTGGCTGTGAAGCTCGGGAGAGCTGGCCGGGCCAAGGGCATCGGATCTCATTGTCCTCCCAGCGATTCAACCCTCCCCTGCAGGCCCTCAATGAAATCGGTTGATCCCAAAATTAATTAAATTAAACGAATAGACTTGGGTAGAGTAGAACATGAATTAAAATGGAGGCCCTCATCATAGGGTCTTGAGCTTAATTTCCCGGTGCGAAGGTGACAAGTCCATCTCTCTGCTTTCCAGTGTAAGTAGATAATTGTGAGGAAGTGAGGGAGGAAGGTGAGCTCCCGGAGTGGACGCTGTCCGGGGTCCTGCGCGGGCGCCCCTCTGGCAGGTACGTGCACGCGCACCGTGACGAGTGATTTGTTGTGTTGGCTTTAGGCACAGCGACCCTCAAGCATGTTGTGCTCACACTTGCGTCGCTAACTGGACTTACAGTGGGTGTTTCAGATTTTTTTTTTTTGGATGAGTTCATTGAATAAATTCAGGATATTTTCATCCGTATTCTTTGGATGATAGCTTACTATTTGATGTTTTAGGTCCAAATTTTTTTTTTAAAAAGCGCTTTAAAAATGTCCATTGACCTCATGTTGGACTTTCCCAGCACAGTGTGGGCAGGGAGGGGCGGGAGGGAGGCGGTTCTGTGAGCTGTGAGGTCATATGACCGCGCGGCTTACACATCGGAGGGCTGACTTCAGCCGTGAGTCAGGTGCAATGCTCACAGCGCTGGCTGGCGATCGATCCGAACTGGGTAAGCCAGCGGTTCTCAACCTGTGGGTCGCGACCTCTTTGGCAGTCAAACAACCCTCTCACAGGGGTCGCCTAAGCCCATCCTGCCTATCAGATATTTACATGACGATTCATAATAGTAGCAGCATGACAGTTATAAAGTAGCAACGAAAATAATTTTATGGTTGGGTCACAACATGAGGAACTGTATTTAAAGGGCCAGAAGGTTGAGAACCACTGGGTTAAGCAGTAAAGGGTCTGAGCCGCTTTAGCTCCGTGGAGCTGTTCTTCTCCCGCCCAAGGGGGTATCACACGTCCCTCCCCAGCCTCTCGCGTGCAGGCAGCTGCTGCGGTTCAGGGACTGAGGGCTGCAGGGCCTCCCTGGATGGGGACCTTCCCCAGTGTCCCCTCCTGGGCCGTGGTCTGTGCAGAGGGTATTGGGAAGGGGGAACGAACCTGGCCACGCAGGTGGTGACCCTGAACCTGTGATCAGGGCACAGGCAGCGGCCGGACAGGGCCTGGAGCCCGGGAACGAGGCGCCACGTGAGGGTGTCGGGTTAGGGGGCCGTCCCGGAGGGGGGCCAGCAATGAGACCCGCACAGAACACCCGTGAGAGCTGGGCCCCACGTGTGTCCACGCTGCTGCCAGTCTGTGGTCCGAGCCTGATTTCACAGGAAAGTAAACTGTGAAGTGCTGGTCCACCTCTCACACCTATCAGAGCAGCACGCGCTGATCACAGAGCCCTGCAGAGGGGTGGTCAGCAGGCAGGCGGGTGGCCCTTGTGGAGGCTCACGTCCTGGTCCCAACTTTTCTCGCCGAGATCATTGGGAAACCCGTTCATCCCATCGCACTGCGATCGCGTGTTTACATGCTTCTCTCCACCAGCCCACAGGCTCCTCGGGGGCAAATTCTCTGCTAATCATATGGTTTGCCCCCGTCCCCACCACAGTCCCCACCCAGGGCACAGCCAGCGACTTCCTGCTGAAAGGATGGGCCCGTGTGCGTGTCGCTGTGGCATCGGAAGCTTTCTCGGAGGGAGAAGCCAAATGCACCGGCCGAGGCTGGCGCTCCCAGCAGAGGGTGCCCGGCTCCCCCGTCGCCAAAGGACAGGGTGGCATTGAACCTTGGGGGTGGAGGCCAGTGGCAGGAACCCCAGACATTTCCCAGGGCCCAGCAGGGTGCATCCCCCAAACGGCAGGCTGGTTTGCCGGCCAGTTCTTGTCCCCCACGAAGCCAGGAGCACAGCTGGCCAGATGTGTGTCCACGGGCCTCCCAGCCGGGGCAGGAGACCAGGGCCTGGCGGAGGCAGAGCCGGCACAAACCTGCCCGTCAGCGGGGAGATGGGACGGGACAGGGTCCTGCTCTGGCCAGAGCCCTCCCACAGAATGCAGGAGGCCAGGGAAATGAAGTGCGTTTATCTGCGTATATTAGCGTGTGCGTATTTCCCACCTCTGTGAGGGTCACTGTGCCCTCTTATGGGGGAAGCAGGCCAAGGGCCTTGTCCAAGTGAGTGGCGGCTCAGGTTTGAACCAGGATTTCCCAGCCCCTGCTCTTTCCACTGCCCTGCGCTCCCATGTTCCTCGGGGAGGGAGTACCCTGGCTCTTCCTGAGCCCTGGGAGCTCTCCATGGTCCTGGCCGCCCGCTCAGGCTGGGCCTGGCTGCGTGAGTTCCCTCCTGCCCGGTGACCCCCCTGCCCCGTGACCCCCCTGCCCAGTGACCCCCCTGCCCCGTGACCCCCCTGCCCGGTGACCCCCCTGCCTGGTGACCCCCCTGGTGAGCCCACGGCCTCCGCGGGCCTGGGGCAGGTTTGCGGCTAGGAAGCCCGGGGAGAGGGTGCTGGCCTCTCCTGTTTCTCCTTCTCTCGGATTCTTCACGCGCTGGGTCCGCCGAGCACAGCTCTCGGCTCTTCCGTTTCCTCTTAAGAATCAGCAAGTGCGCCCGGCCGGTGTGGCTCAGTGGTTGAGCCAGGAGGTCACGGTTTGATTCCCGGTCAGGGCACAGGCCCGGGTTGTGGGCTCCATTCCCCTGTGGGGGGCGTGCAGGAGGCAGCTGATCATTGATCCTCTCTCATCATTGATGTTTGTCTCTTTCTCCCTCTCTCTCTCTCTCTCTCTCTCTCTCTCTCTCCCTCCTCCCTCTCTCTCTCTCTCTCCTCTCTCTCTCTCTCTCTCTCTCTCTCTCCCCCTCTCCTTTCCTCTCTGAAATCAATAAGCATATGTGTGGGGTTTTTTGTTGTTTTTTCTTTTTAAAGAAGAGTCAGCAAGTGCTTGAAGGCACAGCCGTGCCCAGCAGCAGGCCCGCCTCTGTGGTTTCCTGTCTCTGTGGCCCCGGTGGCCTCCCCACGTCGGATAGCTCTCTGATGTTCCTAAGCAGAACTCGAAGGAAAGACGGTCTTGTCCGTTAGTCCTACTTGTTTCCGATAGAAGAGTTGCCCTGCGTGAGCGATTCTGCCGCAGGCGGAGCTGGAGCCGGTTGCTGTTGATTCCCGTTCTCCTTGGGAGGTTGAGTGTGAGAGTCGCCAGCTCGTAAGACCCGCCACAGTCCCTGGTGGGAAGGGGCTGGCTTTCTGCTTCCGTCGCTGGCGCAGTCTCGGTCCGAAGCAGATGCCAGCTGTACTCTGATGGCCTGTGCGTGTTCCAGGGACCCCATGAACCCCTGCCCGGTGACCCCCCTGCCCCGTGACCGCCCTGCCCGGTGACCCCCCCCCCCTGCCCATTGACCCCCCTGCCCAGTGACCCCCCTGCCCATTGACCCCCCTGCCCGGTGACCCTCCTGCCCGGTGACCCCCCTGCCCGGTGACCCCCCTGCCCCATGACCCCCCTGCCCCGTGACCCCCCTGCCCAGTGGACCCTGTCTGTTGGCAGGATGGGCCTGGCTGCCTTGTGTGCAGTGAGCGGGGCCAGGGCTGCCGTCTGCCACCACCTCCCAGCCTGCTTTGCATCCTGCAGCTCCCAGTGCGGGAGCTGCCTTTGCTAAATTATTTCCACTTTCTTCCTCAGACGTTTTAATCAGAGATGAAAAACGATGGGTCTTTTGCCAGCATTTCAGCCTAAGAGGCTGCCGTTTGCCTCTTACGGGCACATCCATTTGCAGCGACTTTCGTGCAGAAGGCAGAGCGACGCTGCGGACGCGGACCCAGAACCTGGGGATCGGGTGGGCCCAGCGTCCTGGGTGGCCCAGGGGCTTAGGGGGCGCTTGCCACCTCCCCTCCTCCCTCCACGGATGCAAGTGCCCTTTGCCCGCGCGAGTGTATCTGCTTCCCATCCTCCAACGCGCCCGTCGCAGGATGGCGGGCTGTCCCCCACTCCTCCCGAGGTCTTCTCTGACCCCCTGGCTCCTCTGCCCCCTCCCTGCAGGCTCCCACCCTCCTGCAGAGGCCCTGGTAGGACTTTCCTGCATGAAATTTTAAAAAATATATATCTTTATTGATTTCAGAGAAGAAGGGAAAGAGCGATAGAAATGTCAATGATGAGAGAGAATCATGGATCGGCTGCCTCCTGCACGCCCCCTACTGGGGATTGAGCCCAAAACCCTGGCATGTGCCCTGACCGGGAATTGAACCCTGACCTCCTGGTTCATAAGTAAATGCTCAACCCCTGAGCCACGCCAGCCGGGCCCTGCATGAACTTCTTGCCCTGGTTTCCTCTCTCACAACTGTTTTCTCTCCTCCTCACTACATTCCCCTCCTCCCTTCTTCCTCCTCCCTCTTTCAGAATCCGGGCAGTGCCTGCAGCATGGCCTCGTACCCACCCCCTCTGTCGCTCCATGCCCGGCTCTCTC